TTATTGAAATATAGTTGATTTACAATATTGTGTTAGTTTCAGGTATACAGCAAAGTGATTGTTTTATATTTATATATACATATATATGTTTATATATATATATTCTTCTTCAGATTCTTCTCCATTATAGGCTATTACAAGATATTGAATACAGTTCCCTTTAATCTTGATATTGGTAATTTGCATCTCAATGTACTTAGCTGTAAGTTTATCAACTGTATTTGAACAGATTCATATTTTCTTTCAGTGATTTTTCTCTGTCCATTTTCTATTTCACTGATTTCTGCTCTTTATAGTTTCCTTCCCTCTATTTATATTGTGTGTATGTTGGTCTTGTTTTTCTAGTTTCTTAAGATGAGAATTTAGATAATTATTTGCAGATTTTTTTTGTCTTTCCTAATATAAACTCTTAAAGTGGTAAACTGTCCTCTAAGTGATGTTTTACCTGCATTCCACAAAGTTTGACATGTTGCATCTTCCCTATCACTCAGGACAAAACGTTTTCTAATTTTCCTTGTGATTTCTTCTTTGATTCATGAATTATTTAGAAGTATATTGCTTATCGGGAGAGGGGAGGAGAGGTGAGATGTATGGAAGGAATAACATGGAAACATACATTACTATATGTAAAATACATAGCCAACAGGAATTTGCTCTATGGCTCAGGAAACTCAAACAGGGGCTTTGTATCAACCTAGAGAGGTGGGATGAGGAGGGAGATGGGAGACAGTTTCAAAAAGGAGGGGATTTATGTATACCTATCAGTGATTCGTGTTGAGGTTTGACAGAAAGCAACAAAATTCTGTAAAGCAATTATCCCTCAATAAAAAAATAAATAAAATTTAAAAAAAGAAGTATAATTCTAAGTACTTGAGGATTTCCTAATGATCTTATTCTCAACTGCTCTCTATTTAATTCATTTTTTTGGGTATTAAAAATCTACTAAGACTTGTTTTGTGGCCTAGTACTTAAACTATCTTAATGAACACTCCATGTACACATGGAAAGAACATGTATATTGCAGTTGTTCAGGGTAGTGTTCTATAAATACTAATTAGGTTGGAGTGGTTGATGGTATTGTTCATATCTTCTATATCTTTGCTAATATTTTATATGGCTATTCTATCAGTTACTTAGAGCAGTTTACTGTAATCATCATCTGTGATTATGGAATTGTCTGTTTTTCCCTCTAATCTGTCTATGTTTGCTTTATGTATACTAAAGTTCTGTTATTAGGTGCACACACATTTTTTATTTTTAGATTTTCCTGATGACTTGACCTTTTAAAAAACACTGTGCAATGTAATAATCTCATCAGCACTGATATTATTTTCCAAACATCTTTTAGTTCTCTTTTGTAATTACTTTAAATTCTCCATAAGTACACTTAGGTTTGAACTTTTTTTGTTTGTTTGGTTTTTTTCATTTATTTTTATGAGTTGGAGGCTAATTACTCTACAATATTGTAGTGGTTTTTGTCACACATTGACATGAATCAGCCATGGATTTACAAGTATTCCCCATCCCGATCCCCCCTCCCACCTCCCTTAGTCTGAACTTTAAAGGATCTAGGCCACTAAGTATCCTTTCCGCTTGTACTGAGACGTCATCATCTCCTCCCAGTCCTTGCACACTGAAGATTCCAGGCGGCTCTAACTTAACATCAAAGGAAAAATTGTTCAGTAACCTGCATGTTGATAAGATTTTCATTAACCTTTCTCATTTTTGCTGGGTTTGTGACATTCCAAACAGGCAGAGATTATGTGGGACCAGTGGTTAACTACAGAATATTAAGTAAAGGGATCAATGCTGAGTGATTTTTTAAATGATCTATTTCAAGAGAAACACTGTATTTCAAATTCATCTCCAGGAAATGGAGAACTGAAAGTTGGTATGAATCTACAATAAAATTCAAGTAAATGACAATTAGAGAACCAAACACAGACTTCAATTTTTTATAGGAGAATTTTAGAGTATATTCACTGTTTCATTTCAGAACAAATGAGGCAGAAACAGCTTCAGTTCTGAAACCACTATACAGCATTTAGTGATATGACATCTACCTCTAGACGTTCACTATTATGTAGCTTTGTATGTATGTATGTATCAAATATCTGTGTGCTTTTTTTCCCTCTCAATTATTTGGGAAACTTCAAAAAGGACAATCACATGCAAACCTTTTCAAGCATATTGCTAGAATGCAATGTGAATAAACTGCGTTGTGAATAAGTACAGAAAAACATTTATACAGAGCTTAGATAGCTCAGTGATCTTTATGAGACCATAACTGTTCTAAATATCTGTAATTTTCAAAAGTTGTGTCAATGTACCTAAGAAAACAGTAAAACAAAATAAAACATTGGGACCTGAACACCTACTGTGGCTAACTGCCCAAACCTGTGGGGGTGTTTTGGTAGCAAGTCATCTACAGAGCAAGCAAATCCAAATATGCAGAGTGCCCACCAGGTAACAGCTGATTCCTTACAGTTATTAAATTTAACACTCATAAAACACCATGGTAGTGCTGCATTTCTTTTGCATGTGAAACCAGACTTTGAAAGATTAAGTGGCTCACCAAAGGCGACACAACTGTAAGCAGTAGTTATGGGATCTGAACCCCAATCTCTTAACACTAGATGTGGTATTTGTTCTACTTTGCCAGAGAAACCTATATATAGATCAGGAGTTGGCAAACCTTTTCTGTAAAAGGCCAGAACCTTTAAGCTTTGCAAATCATATGGTCTCTTAAATCCACTCTTGTACTAAGTAAATAGCTATAGATAATATGTAAGTAAGTGAGTCTTACCCTGTTGATGGGGAAGATTGAAGGCAAAAGGAAAAAGGGGCAGTGGAGGATAAGATGGTTGGACAGTATCACTGACTTCATGGACGTGAATCTGAGCAAACTCCAGGAGCTAGCAGGAGACAGAGGAGCCTGGCGTGTTACAGTCCATGGCGTTGCAAAGAGTCGGACATGACTTAGCAACTGAACAACAACAACAAAATGAGTCTAGTTATGTTCCAATGAAGCTTTACAAAAGTAGGTTGTGGACTGGATTTGGCCCAGGAGTTGTGGTTTGCTGATCCCTGCTATAGATTAAAACATACAAGCAAACCATAAAAGAATTAGGTTCTAAGGTTTCAGAGGTATTTTTCATTACTGCTCCACTTAGTCTACTTAACTACAAACAATAATTGTGATTTCACTGTAAATTCATCTTCCAGTTCTAGCTCTTCCACAGTGCCAACTTTCTTCTCCCCAATACAAATTCTAGCTTTGATGATAGTCACTTTAAGGGAGTGATCAACACTTTTTGTTAGTGAGGACCAGTCAGGAGATGGTTTTTCTCGCTACTCAGTAAAAATGACTTTGCTGGATCCCAAAATGGAAAACAGTTTCCTGCTTTATTGAATATTTTTAAATGCTAATAAAAATCGGTACTTGGTTTTAGTTATCAAAATGGTAATGCGAATGAACTTATGGACAAAACAGAAACAGACTCACAGAGTTAGAAAACAAACATCGTTACTAAAGAGGAAATGTGGGGGAAGGATAAATTAGGAGTTTATGAATAACATATCCTCATTACTATGTATAAAACAGATAATAAACAAGTTTCCTGTGCTACTGCATAGCACAGGAAACTCTACTCAAGATTCTGTAACAACCTATATAGGATAAGAATCTGAAAAATAATGTATATATGTATGTGTATAACAATCACTGGCTGTACACCTAAAACTAACAACACTGTAGATAAACTACATTCCAATACAAAATAATTAAATTTTAAAATTGTTAATGTGGAGCAACAGTCATCTTTCCAATCTATGTACTTTAGGATTCAAAACTTGTCTTCTTATACATTATTTCATTTATCTTTGAAGCAAATTCTGAAGTAAGTATTATTATGGAGAAACTGATGCAGAGGTTAAGCGACTCACCCAGAGTCACTTCCTTCCCGAACAAGCAAGTACTATACTGGGTGCAAAGAATAAGGAGATAAATAAAATCATACATGCTTGCCTTTGTCCCTATCCTCCTTGTTGATACTTGGCCTCCACCAAAACCCACATACCTAATAAACAAGTTTGAAAAGAGTTTTCTAGTGATTGCCCAGGTAGTTTTTTTCCCTCCAGGCCTCTGCCTTGTTGAACTGAAAGTTGTACTTGAAATTTGATCAGATACTTTTCTGGAAAACCAAACAAGGCGTGAAGCTCTCTGGTTTTGGGCTTCTCATCACCGTTTATAATTCCCTCCAGCAACTCATCTACACTATTACAAATAAGCATTTTCAAAATTCAGTGTCAAGTGAGTTATTATTTTATTTACTACTAATTGTGAAAGTTAGTTTTATTTCCTCAAATATATTCTGTACAGTCTTTCCTCTTTCTTCTCCCTGTAAACTGACATTATTTACTATATTCATCTGCCAATTTTCATTCTGCATACAGTCAGTCCCCTGTGTCTACTGGCCTTTCTTCAACTAATTACAAAGAGTGTAATGTCTAAAGTGAGGTCCTTACTTGAGCCATGGCATTACTTGGTCATAAACACTTCTTTAAGATCTGATGTCAATTCTTACAGATCCTGCTGATTTGCTAATTCACATAGCTGTCCGAGGGCTTCCCTGGTGGCTCAGCGGGAAAGAATCCACCTGCAATGCAGGAGTCACGGTTTTGATTCCTGGGTCAGAAAGATCCCCTGGAGGAGGGCATGGCAACCCACTCAAGTGTTCTTGCCTGGAGAATCCCATGGACAGAGGAGCCTGGCGGGCTACAGCCCATGGGGTCGCAAAGCGTCAGACACGACTAAAGTGATTTAGCATGCATGCACGTTCATAGCTGTCCTAAGGTCTTCACTGAGTACATTTGGTAATTTAGGGCATTTTTCACTTCAGGTAAGGATTGGCTTTTTTTAATTACAAGAAGATAGAGCCACGCAAAAAGAGTCATTCCATTTCATTCAGCCATGAATGAAAGTTTCTCAGCCTACTTACCTCTGCAATCAGATCATGTAGCTCTCCTTCACTAGGGCAGCATCCTAATGACCTGATAATTGTTCCGACCTCTCTGTGGGAAAAAAAAGTAGTCAATTGTTTTAGAATATAAACTCTGAAAAAACAAGCACTATGTTTCTCTAAATTATTTCACAGCAGGTGTAGCACAGCAAACAAAGTCATGTAATAAACATTGCCTCAAGAGGATGGAAGATACTTGCTGAGGAAAGGAAAAGGCAGACAAGTGAACCCAAGAGAGAAGAAAGAAGTGTTTGTATTGACTGGCAAGTGCAAACCCTGCCACTTTCTAACTGGTTTTAAGTGTTAGTTAATTCTTTTGAGCCACAGTTTCCACATCTGTAAAATGAGGATGATAATCTCTAAGCAGGTGAAGTCTAGAGGCAGGGTACTTAAAAGTACGACCTCTAGTGGGAGACTATTGTTGTTTAGTCGCTAAGTCATGTCCAACTTTTTTGAGACCCCATGGGCCACAGCCCACCAGGCTTCCTATATCCTGGGATTTCCCAGGCAAGAACACTGGAGCGGGCTGCCATTTCCTTCTTCTGGAGATCTTCCCAACCCAGGGATCAAACCCTCGCCTCTTGAATCTCTTCCTTTGCAGGCAGATTCTTTACTGCTGAGCCACTAAGGAAACCATTGGCAGACTGCTAGGGTTCCAACTCCAGCCCTATAATTTGCTAGACTGGGCAGGTTAATCTGCATGCATAAGCCTACCTGGCAGGTGAAACACAGATTCTTCTGTGAAATACTCAGAACTGGGCTGAGAATACTCTAATGGCCAAATAATATGAGATACCATAACATAAAGCACAGCTCTTGACAGAGTAGACACTCAATAAATATTAGTTATTCCTCGCCCCCTCCCCAATAGGAATGTAATTCAATTTATCAATAACCTAAGAAAAGTATAAGCTATATTCAGTACTCCCTGGATACTCAGACAGGGGATTAATAATAGACTATTAAATGTTTTCATTTAAAATGGTTAAAAAGTTGTGATATTTTGAAAGTTAACTTGTTCAACTTAACTAGATGTTAATGTTAACTAAAGTTAGCAACTTAACTAATGTTCACTTAACTAGAATATTTAACTTCTTTACCATTCTGGCTAATACCTGTGGTATTATATTTACTCTCTATTTTACAGAGAAAACATTTTAAATAAGAATTTTTAAGTTCTTCACTTCAGGAGGCTGAAGGATGAGTATCAAGAAAAAAACCTGAAGTCAATAACTGTGGAATATAGGATTCCTGGTGTTCACTGACTGATTTGAGGGCCAACTAAACATGTAATGTCTTCAAGTCAACTCTTATTTCGTACCTCCCTGGGTTCCTTAGTCTCACTGCTTTTCATGCCCACGTGCCTCACTGAGGCAGGATCTGAACATGATGCTGTTACTAGAGACTAAAAATGTTTTATGAGATTATACTTTCTCTCAAGAAGCAGCTAAAGATGACCCATGAAACTGGCTAAAACCAATGTAGTAATAGTCTTGTAACATCAGACTGGGTATTGCATACGTTAGAATAAATAGTTAATGAGGCAGGGACAAAAAAATATAATTTAATAAACTGTCATGGATTTATCTCCTCCATAACCTTCTAGGCCTTCTGTTCTGTGAATCAGAGAACTGCTTCAACTCCAGACTCAGAAGGATAAGAATAAAGGCTGCCTTAACTCACAGAAACAAAGGGAAGGCAGGGAAGTGAGGAGGGTAGTGTCTGTATGCCCTTACCAGTTAGAAATCTTGGGGAGGTGGGCTGGGGGAAGAAAAGAGAAATTTTAGGCCTGCACCATGCAATACAGAAGCTATTACCTCCACCTGGCTATACAGCACTGGAAATGTGACTAGTCCAGATTAAAATGGGCTCTAAGTGAAAAATATATATGGATTTCAAAAACTAGTATTAAAAAAATGTAAAACATCCATTAATAATTTTTAATTGATTACATGTTGAAATCATATTTTAGACATATTGGTTAAATAAAACACATTGTTTTACCTGTTTCTCTTTTAGTTTTTAAAAATACAGCTACTAGAAAATTTTAAATTATATATGCAATCCTTCTTTTGATGGTTCTTTTCTAGGGAATAGCTGCCATTATGATGCACTTTGTGAAGACAGGTACAGTACATAAACAGAAAATTAGAATTGCATTGTGCTGTGTCAGCAATGTAATTTATCCCCTCTGTGCTACTATGAGAAAATTTCAACCTTATTCATTTATTTACTTATTTACTGGCCACATGTCAAAGCATGAAGAATCTTAGTTTTCTGACCAGAGGTCAAACCTATGCCCCCTGCAGTGGAAGCACAGAGTCTTAAGCACTGGACCTCCAGGGTATTCCCACAACCATATTTAAATGAAGTCCTGGGTTGCTGACCCAGGTCTCACGTCTTCTGCCAATATCCAAGAAACAGTAACAGGCTAACTTGCTAGCTTTTGAAGGGGATAAAATCTAAGGGTAGACTTGACATGTATAAAGATGTATAGGAGAAAATCTGGGCTGGAAACACAGATCTGGTAACAAAGCCACGGGAGCAGAAGAGCTCCTGTACGAAGAGTGCCGTGGCTGGAAGAGATGACGACCCAGGAAGAGCTCACAGGAGTCTCCCCACTGACACAACGGTCCAAGGATGAGGAATCTGCACTAGACTCAGAGAAGAGGAGCCAGGAAATAAGCTGAAATTCAGGACAGGGTGATGTCATGGAAACTAAGGAAAGAGATGAAAAAAATTGAGTCATCTTCGGTGTTAAATGCTGCTGAAAGGTCAAGGAAAATAAGTTCTGAAAAATGTCCACTGGAATTAGTAAAGAAGGAGATAGTTCTGATTCTGGACCAAGGATATTTCACTTGAAGGCTGAGGAGAAACCAGGGTTGAGGTGGATGGATCTGTGCAGTGAAGGGGAAGAACTGATGTCTGGAGGGGGACATGGTATCGGGAGATTTTTTATTTTTTAAGACCAGAAAGACGCAAGCATGTTTAAATACCAATGGGAATGGACCAGGGTGAAATAGAAGACCGATTTGGGCACCATCAGCTGAACAGATGGGCTTCCCGAGGAGGTGGGAAGGGCTGGGGCGGGCGTTTAGTGCTATATCCATATGGCCATCTCACCTGAAGACCTGCCATCAGCAAGCTGCTTCCTATAAGAAGGCAGTAGATTCCTCCTTGCAGTCTTAGAACATTTTACTCTGCCCCTCTTTCCACTTTGCTTTGAAGAACCCATCACCATCTTCTGCTCTCTGAGGGCATTGGGCTAGACTGTCTCACTTTGCACAGGCAGACCACAGAAAACAAAGCCTAACGTCCTCTCAGCATCAAGGAACTTCTTTCTGTCTAGTCCTGATGATATAAGAGAAAAGGGCAAAGACCCTTCGGCTGAGGGTCCACAGTGGCCTAGAGAACAATACAAAATGTCACGAGCTCACCTGTACACAAACAACAGGTTCTCTAGCTCGCCCACCCTCCCTTTCAGCAGAAAGCTAATCCCTCCCCTGTACTCTGTGCTCTGGAAGCTGTGGTCAGGAATCCTGCAGCCGACCTGGGCACAAAGAAAGGGGGTGATGCCCATGGCTTCAGGTCTAGATGTCTCAGCAGCACAGCAGTTTCCCTGCCCTTATTTTCCCTAAAGACTGCATTAGCCTCCTAGTACAATGTGGTCCCTGGAGACTCAGACAGTAAAGAATCGGCCTGCAATGCCGGGGACCTGTGTGTATTCAATCCCTAGGTCGGGAAGATCCCTTGAAGAAGGGAATAGCAACCCACTCCAGTATTCTTACCTGGAGAATTCCATGGACAGAGGATCCTGGTGGGCTACAGCCCAGAGGGTCGTACAGAGTTGGACACGACTGAGCAACTAACACTAACTGAGGACAATATGAGAGAAGAAAAGAAGGAGCCACCAAATTGCTAATGTTGAACTTTTTCTGGTCTTGCACATGGGAAAATGGAATTAGATTAGATTTAGAAAAATACAGGAACATGACACATTTTTATCTCTAGTCTACTAGACTACTCTAGATACAATTCATATCTATAACTCTAGTTTGTGGTTTGGGAATGGGATGTGAAGTCTTCTCTTTCTCTCTCCATTCTCTTCTGCTCTGCTTCCCCAGGGCCTGACCTGCTGCACCGGCTCCCTTGCCCCCAGACTCCCGGTCCCAATTGCCCAACATGAGGCAGAGCATTGCAGGTTTCCACTGCTGGATCACACACTGCCCAAAATGTGGCATCTTAAACAACAGCGAGTTCTTATTTTTCATAATTCTGTAGGTTGGCTGGATGGTTCCTCCAACAGTTTCCCCTGGGTTCACTCATGCAGTGTTTGGCAGTTAATTAATCTACACATTGGGTTGCTCAATATTCCACAGTCAACTACTCAAAATTTCCATTATCACCACCCCGGATTCTGGGTCCCTTAACCTTCCATCCTGCCTGCTCTATTGATCCATAACCCTGAGCATCTCTATGCCTCTAATTTTAATTTCCTGTTACTGCAAAGCACTGCTGGAAGGAAACAACAAAAACCTGTGGCCCACTACAGATTCACGTCATCTAGCATCAAGTGTCCTGGACGCTGCCCGACAATCCTTTCTCTCATCTCATGTTGATGCCCTAGCAAACTTCCCAAAGAGCTATCCTGAATCCTCTCTGGCCTCAAGCTCCAAAGCATGGCCCCCCTTAATCTCAGCAGAAAACCCTATCACCTACTTCACCAAAGAAATGAAAACTGCTGAGGTCGGCACCATCACCGACCCTCCTCACTCAGCTCTGATTGCTCTAACAACATACCACAGACGAGGGAACTTAAACCACAGACATTCATTTCTCCTAGTTCTAGGGGCTTGAAGTCTGAGATTAAAGCACTAACCAATCTGGGGTCTGGTGACAGTCCGAGTCCCAGCTTGCAGGTGACCTTCTTCCTGTTGTGACCTCACAGCGGGAAGAGAGCAGGCTTGGGTCTCCCTCTCCTTTGGGGGGCTCCACTCTCATGACCTCATCTAAACCTACTCACCTCTCAAAGGTCCCACCACCAAATACCAT